TCTTGAAAAGTATCTTGCACCGCCACTGCTTTAATGTATCTATCCTTCTCTGCTCCTCTTTTGCTGTTTCAAATGCTTTTCTCTCTCCCAAATACTTCCTACATCTTCAACGAATCTGCACATTATTATTTTCGAATTCATGTTTCCAATAGTACCTACCTGAAGAACCTTTTAATGGAAGCAAGCTCCAGAGATAGAACCAAGAGAAGAAAATTACTCCATTTTCAAAATTTCTGCGGTTGATCGCAAAACTGAAACTCGCAACGGAAATCGGAGCTTTATAGGTTTTATAGCCTGCTCTTTCTGACTGTGCCAAATTTGCGCTGATTGAATCTCTTTATGAAAAGTTATGATTTTCGAAGCAAATGCCAAAAAAATCATATTTGCTCTTTTTTACGTCTTCCTCAAAAATCATAACTTTTTAAGAGACGTTGAATCAGCGCAATCTTTGTACATCCAAAAAGAGTAGGTAACAATAGCTATGATACCGATTGCTGCGATTTTCTGCAAGCAGATTTTTGCGACCAAACATGGGGAATATTGAAATGGAGTAATTCTCTTCACCGACTTCGGTCTCTGGAGCTATCAAAAAGTGCCTCAGGTACCATTAGAAAGCATGTCTTATTTCAAAATAAACCTGTGCAAATTGGATGTGAAGGAAGAAAGTTTCGAATTTTTGAAAAGGATGGGGACGAGCTTTTGGTTCATTAGTACCATTTTCTAAGTATTGATTTATGAAAATTCACCAATAATTCATAATAACTTTCACTTACACACACCTGCCTTAGAGTCTGACACATACCTGTTTTGTGTGGAAAATGCTGGAATATTAAATTAAAACAAAAGTTCGGCTCCAAATTTGAAAATTCCAAAAAAATTCAAGTCGAAGTAAAGCCTTGATTTTTGCAGAAAACTCTTGTAATTTTCAAACCTGTTTCAGAGCTTCTCTTGTTGAGATTTCGAAATTCCTGAAAATTTTAAATGAATCATCCAAATTTGCTCCGTATTTCTCGGCGAAGAAGTTGCAAAGTGGAACACTTGCGGCAAGGCACGATTTACATCAAGAAATTTCAATAAATTCTCATTACAGAAAGGAAGGGAGGCCGAAGCCGGATTCAGTCGCGCGAACAACTCAGACACTCGCTGCGACGGCGCGCGCGCCTTATGCGTGCGGCCGCTCAGGGTTGGACCAGACTGCGCTGGGAAAGCGGCGTACGCAGCGTAAGCCGCGTACGCTCCTATGATGAAATATACCAAGCGTACGCTGCGTACGCCGCGTACGCCGCTTTCCCTGCGAAGTTTGGCTCAATCCTCATGACCCCCGCCGCCCGCGTCAAATAGCGCGCGCGTCGCGAGTAGATGGGACGCGCGCCGTGAGTAGATGGGACGCGCGCCGCGAGTAAATGGTACGCGCGCCACATGATAATGGCACGCCGCTCGCACGGTATGAGAATTGCCATTTGCATTTGAAGCACTGAAAATCACGGTGAATCTGTGGTAGATCTGATGACAACCTTCAATCTCAGGCAAACAATGGCTTCAATTTCAAATATGAACTTGAAGTTTCCAAACCTTGAATTTGGAAATTCAAATTTCGAAAATTCAAGAATTCAAATTTCCGAATTTAGATTCAAACTTGGCACCTAGTCGCAGTGCTTATGAAGACTGACTCGTGGAAGAACTATTAGGGTGATCGGTATAAAAATGGGGCAGCTTGATTTTCATTATATTTTGGGATTTTTTGTTTCGATCAACAACAAGCAGGCTGCAACGTAAACGTCGCTTATATAAGCGACCTTCGCCTAATATTCTGGCAAAGCGTCAACGCTCCTCTCCCACAACCTTACGCGTGGCGCCCTGAAGAACTCGAACAGGGTTTTTTGAACATCGCTCATTCTTGCGCTGCCATACCGTAAAGTTATAGAGCAATGGATATACCTTTCGAAAGAGCTCTTCATGTTCTTATACCGGATTTCCTTCTATTTCTGAACAAAAAAAGGCGAAATACTTGAAAAATCGCGATTTTTTGGCGCAACAAAAACCAATAAATCAAGTTTCAATCTGTATTTTCCGAAGATAGATAAAATCTGAGGTAAGCTGCATATGGATGGATAGAGCGTAAAAAGCTCTTTCAGATGGTACCTATAAAACATGCGTCCACCTGCAAAGAAGTGAATAGCACGCATCTTTGTTCTCAAAGCTGCTAATGGCCATATCTCCCGAATTTGAAAGTTGAGGGCCACCCATCGTGTTTCTGGTGACTGTACCTTGACGCATTGCAGCACTAGTACTCTGAATGGTTTCGCTTGTTTCACTGCGCAGATACTGCCCGAAGTTTATAATTTGTCAAAATGACTAACTTTGCATTTCGGTCACTATAAAAATAATTATGTATGTAAATGACCTTATATAGGTATTTTCTGAAAGAGAATAATTTATTCTAACATCTACCAAAATCGGGAAGTTTAATCACTTCTCTTTTTTGAGAAATCTACATTTTTTCTCTAGGTGCCCCATTTTTCAGCTATCACCCTAATAGAAAAATCCCACATGTGTGGGTAGAGGACTATATGTCGCCGAAAAAGGGCGGTCCCGCGGTCATTTGCGACAAATACGCACCCTTGTACATGCGCGGACATGCGTTCCTGCAGGGAATCCGCGCGAGACTCTTCCAAATTCGGCGACATATAGTCCTCCACCCCACATGTGTTAATGAGACAACTTGACTGCGAAACAGCGATAACATCAATGAAATAGCGATAAAGCTCCCAAAACACTGCGTAGTACTTCACGCAGGTATCGCTTGTGCTTACAGCGTGTGAGAATGCGGAAGATATCATGGCACGCCGCTCACTGATAAATTGCGCGCCACTCGCAGTCTCAACTAGGGCGCGCGGTTCGCAATGCAGTGCTATAATGGCGCGCGCCGCCGCGCCGAGTGTCGGGTAGGCGCTCCGGCGGCCATAATAAGGCCGCCGCTCGTCGGCTGCGAATGATGGCGCGCCGCTCGCACTGCAGCCTCAACTATGGCGCGCCGCTTGCACTGCTGCTTCAATTAAAGCGCGACGCTCGCACGGCAGCCTCAAATAGGGCGCGCCGCTCGCACTGTAGCGCTATTATGGCGCGCCCGCCGCCGCGGCGAGTGTCTGAGAAGGTCAAAATGACACCCGATAAGTGGAGACGGTTTATTTCTCCACAGGACCATCTTCCCTTTGAAGCGCATGTTATCCTTTGTGAATGAGATTGTTATTCTGGTTTCATTCTTATTCTTCCACCAGTGCGTCACTTCTGCTTCCCAGAGGCTCGCACTGCGCTGCTATCTAGGCCCTACTCATTCTCGCATAATGATGGCATTGGAACTCACCGAGCAATGCCGATTATCACGAACAAAATGTAAACAACTACGCATTCCTAAAGCTTTTTTATGTTAAATCGGTGACTTCGCGTGGATGAGACTTTTTGCACGAAAACAAACGCAAATTTTTATAGGTTTTTGATTTTCCCATGGTCTTGACATTGCAATAAGAATAGCAGTCATTGTAAGCTACATCTTTGTGCAAAAATCTCGTCAAATGCTCTGGTACAACCTTGCCAAATTGATCATTTACGCAACCAATACTTTTTGGCGCCGTTTTTGTGAAGTAATGGACTTTGATCACTTTTTTGCGCCCAAGTTTATGGCTTGCACATCTACTTGGCATAAACATTCACGACTCTGCAAAAAGTGGAATTACGGACCCAATTTTGCGGCCAAAATGCAAAGTGGTTCCATTTGAGGCGCAGTTTCTGAGGGATCCACTCAACGAATCTGCTCGTGTTTTTGCATGTTGGACTTTCATGCGGGTACCATGCGCCGTGCAAAATTTGAGCCCAGGAGGTTGGCTGGAACATGCTCTACAAATTTCGTAACAGACACACTCACAGACACACACACTCAAAGTCACGTAAACATCCTTAGCCCGTTATTATGAGTAGTGATTATTCTTTACTCTTCTATCAGTATAACATTGCTTTTTAATTCTTAGTATCTGCCGATTTTTTCCAACCTTATTCGGTTATGCATATATACTCGAATGCTTCTGTGATTTTATGTATATTTATTTATGAACACTTCATTGATCTGTTAATTTGCAATTATCAACTTCGGCCTGTTGTGATTCTATATGGTACCTGCATAAAACAATACACTGTGCCATTTGCTTTCTCATTAAAACTATCTCGCTGTCTACGTCTCTTTGCATCTAGAAAGTCTGGAGGAATTTCCGCATCAAAGGAATAATGCCTTAGTAAAAAGCGAAAACCTAGTATCAAAAAGGAAGCTTGATATGGAAGAAACGGACCGCGAATCAAATGCGAAAACTGCAAAGTGCTGCGGAACCCCAGACAAAGAACTGCGGAAACCCTGTACCCTGAGATTGCAGGGTTTTCGCAGCGCTTTCGCAAAATTTTCGCCGGGTCACCTGCGGAAATCCTGCAAAAGCGCTGCGGAAATTCCGATCGGTTGTCTGAGTAGCTGGCACACTCGGCTCCTTCCAGCCCTGTCAAAACATTATGGTAAACATTCCTTTTTCCGTACAACCTTTTCCTGTGCCCACTTCTACATGCCAATTCCCTATCCGCGTTTGGTTTTCGTATATATATACGAACGGAGCCGGAAAACATTGAAGTTGCGAATGCTACAGTGGAAACTCGGCCTGAAAGGCGACGGTGGGATCGCATCTTGAACTTTAAGATGCGATTATTAAAAATATGCATGCGGATAGAATGCATGAGAAGCCGATAACATAGTTATGATTTACGAAGTGATGCCGAAGTACCGAAAACATCACTGTACTCAATACAGACGCAACGTTGACTATACACGTTATCATTGAACTGCGTGTGACAAACCTAACAAAGGTGGAAACTGTTGGTCAACTCAAAAGGAACAACGCCCAACTTTTCCCCGCGGGACAAGGCAAAGATAAGAAAGCACAAGACAACGAGACACTTGAAAATGTGAACGATTTATTTACAGAAATACGGATACTGTATTCACTACTCACAACCCATAGCGATGTTCCTAGAACCAGATGCATCAAACATGAGATCGACGACTGTATTTAACATGAATTTATCACGGAACGGGAAATAACGGAAAAGTTATAATTTGGCACGTTGACCGTTTTCTTCTCTGTCCCAGAATGTGGCTAAGATTTCTGCATGACGTTCAGGAGCTACATGAAAATCGACTCGCCGATCATGTTCGGAGCGAAAACTGAAAAAGATTCCCATGATAAGTACAATATACTCGATTTTGAGGTATTTCTATAGGACCTCTCAAGCCTTGCACAAGAAATTGGTGGTTTTGACAAAACTCCCTCACTATCACGTTTCTGATCAACAACTTCCACTGTGTGCACATATGAAATCATGATGGAGGCACGATTCAGAAGCAAAACCTATTCTGGGTGATTCTGACGCCCGTCCCTTTCCTTCCCCGTTCCCTCAAAATGTGCGTTCATGAAGAAGACAGGCGTCACTGAACCTATGGCTTAGAGCAACAGTTATGCCGATGCGTGTTTTTTCTCCACAGAATTGCGGTGCAAAGATCTTTTTGCACTACAAGAGATTCCCAAGTCTTTTATCTCAGACTCCGATTTCGTCGCATGGGTCAGCGCGGAACGCTAGCCGCTAGGTATACGCTTGACTCTGATTGGTGATTTTCTTGCATCCTCCCGAATTCGAGGGTCATAAGTGTTTTTATTGTATGTCGAAATGCAAACATCAAGAATTGCAGAATTTCTCACCTATGGGTGCTGCTTAGTTCAGGTGTCATTCGCATAGCATCTCCATCGTCCGGTGCTGGATTGAGAGTTATAGGTGGATTCCTCTGAAGAATCGTTCCAAGAAGATCATCTACACGTTGCCTCAGATAGAAGTGTCGTGTAAGGCATATCTGAAGGTGCAAGGTGGAAACAAAAGAAGAATATTTGTCCACCGCCTACATTGCCTATCCTGCTATAATAACTCGCTAAGGCCGTCTGTTTTTTTGTTGTTGTGTGTGTCTGTCTGTGTGAAAATCTGTCTGTCACGAATTTCTCGAAGGAGTCCCAGCCAAGGAATTGGGCCCAAATTTTGCATAATACATCCTAGCAGCAGGAAAGTCCATTGTGCAAAAGCACAAGCGGATCGGATAAGTGGATCCCTTAGAAATTGCGCGTGAAACGGGTCCACTTAACTTCTGGCCAGCAAATTTGGGTCCGTATATAAACTTTTTGCAAAGTCGTGGATTTGTTTGACAAGCTAATGTACAAGCCATGGACTTTAGCCCAAAAAATTCGACTAAAGTAGGTTACTTTACGAAGATGGCGCCAAAAAGAATTAGTTGCGTAAATGCTTAATTTACCCAAGATTTTACCCAATCATCCGAAAAGATTTTTGCACAGAGATGTAGCCCACGATGATTATTGCCGTTATGACGACTACCAAGCCATAAAAAGTCCACAAACTTACTAAAATTTGCATTCATTCTTCCCAGAAAAGTTTCATCCACGTGAAAATACCGATCTCACGCAAAAAAGCTCTAGGAATGAGTAGCTGTTCACAAATCATTCGTGATAGCCTGCATAACGCGGTGAGTTTGCATGTCACTATTATGCGGGTAAGGCATGCAGAAAGTAGGGCTAGTGTGAGCCTCTGCGAAGCAGAGATGACGCACTGGTTTGGAAAAAAACGCAAATCTGCTTACGTACGCAAGAATTTCTAATTATGAGCCCAAAAGAAACTTGCCCTGCCTCAAAATTGTGCACCTAAGAGCATCAGATCATCAAAAGATGAAGAAACCATCAAAAAATCTTGTGCTCTCCTCAAACTTTGTCATATTTGAAAGTTTTATGGCAGAATCGGCTGACTCTGTTATATCGCTTATTGCTTTGATAGCTTCTATACAAAAGACACGAATTTGCTCTCACTTATTCAATTTTATGCCGACATAGCGCAAATCAGCTTTTACAAAATTTGTCACCGAAAAGATTTGTTTCAGCTAGAATTTCTACCAGAAGCAGCAAGAATCAGCTCTAACACCACTTAAGTGTCCTAATACAGTGCTGGACAAAATTATAGGTCCACTGTAAAAAGTGCCATAACTCACTCTGTTGTCGATAAAATGTTCCAAAATTTGGTACAGCCGTGTGTTTGCCAGCCTACTATCAGTGCCCCAAAACGGGTCTCGTTTTCGTTCGGATATTCAAAAAAAAATGAAAATTTCGAAAAAAGCAGTGAAGGCTGGACAAAATTATAGGTCCACCTGGAGCTTTCACTGATTAAAGCACTTCTTAGCTCCCGAATCTTTTTAGGTAGGCACACATCTAAAAATGTTAAACAACTGCTTTAGTCAAGCTCTGTCATACCTCCAAAAAGAATTGATTATCTGCTTTTTTGCCGTGAAAATGCTTTTACCTGTATTTCGCTCCACAAACCTGCGTTGAGTAAGAAATTCTGCAGTTTCTCAGCTAGATCGGAAGCGACGGGGTTTCATCTACTTCTGGATACTTTTTGACGTGAGCATTATGGAAAAAATCCGATTTTCTACTGCTGAAGCAAATCCGACATCGACTTAGTCGGGAGAGAAAGCCTCAATTTCTGCCCTAAAACCCTTTATGCATTGTCATTATAACTCAAGATATTGTAGAAGCATTCTTTACACAAGAATAAAGCTGTTCGCCATACACGCAAGTGTCCACAAAGCTGCCTTGCTTCTTTTTCGAAACATGAGTTGTGTGTGCAACGTAATGATGGTGTTACGCAGATCCAAAATAGCTTGCCAAGTGCTACCTCGCAAGATTTTTGACAGTAATTATTTCCTAGATAGTGGATACAGCTTGTAGTGTATGTTAGCACATGATTCTTCTGAAAATTTTGGTCGGAGCCACAAATAGCTTTGGTGTTTGTCGTAATCAGTTTCTGTAGGGTGATTGCAGTAATTATACTCGAATGCTAGGACCTCTAGAAAGTTGTAACCATGGAATACGGACTCCCCTTCGTAGAAACAATGCCTTTGCTTTACTTAATGTTTCTGAGAACCTTGTAAAAGAAGTTTGAAGGCAGAAATTTGAGCTCAGGATTGCAGTATTGTCAATGTCGGATTTGCTTCAACAACAAAAAGTCGGATTTTTTCCTCAATGCCCACGTCAAAAAGCATCCAGAAGGTAGATGAAACTCCGTCTCCGATCCAGCTGAGAAACTGCAGAATTTCTTACTCAACGCAGGTTTGTGGAGCGAAATACAGGTTAGAGCATTTTCAAGGCAAAAAAGCAGATAATCATTTCTTTTTGGAGGTATGGCAGAGCTTGACTAAAGTAGCTGTTTAACGGTTTTGGATGTGCGCCTACCTAAAAAAATTCGGGAGCTAAGAGGTGCTTTGATCCGTAAAAACTCCAGGTGGACCTATAATTTTGTCCAGCCTTCAAGCCTGCTTTTTTCAAAATTTTCATTTTTTTGAATATCCGAACGAAAACGAGACCCGTTTTGGGGACTGATAAAGTGCGGTTCATAATTATACGAACACCTAAAATTTTGTAAGTTTTTGGACTTTTTGGGAGAAATTCAAAAAGCCGTTGGTACCACGCGATAGAACACAGCCGAAAACGGTATATGATCCATAAGAATGGAAATCGATGTCAACTGTAGGAGTGTTTTTGCGCCTAATGCGAATTTTTAGCGGTTCATAATTATACGAACACCTCAAACAAAGGTCCATTTTTCATTCAAGATTGCAATCATTTGAGTCCAAATTTTTTGTAGGGTTACAGTAACAAAGTCTGACATATCTGCCATACACTGAACCCAGTGCAGTTCAAAACGATTACCGTTACTTTTTTGAGAAGGCTCCAAATGCTTTTGGAATGATTGCGCTCCAAAAACATCCGTTCTTCTGTGGTTTACGCGCTCTAAGTAGCTTCTACCAAAGCTACGAGATAGAATAAGCTCTTTCGATAGGTATTTTGTTTGACGCTTGGAAAATCTTTGCGTTTTCGTGCCGTTTTTCAACCAAGTTCCAACCTTACCACAGAGTTGGCACGATTTCGAGCCTCAAAACTCAGCTTCTGAAGCCGTACAATGAAGTAATCATATAGTATGTAGAAGTTCACAAGACTATATTTGGTTAGAAAAAATCAGCAGCGTTGAGCGTTTGTTTTGGTCACGCAGACGTCATTTCACCAAAAATACTGTTTTTACTATTGCAATCACACCTTTATTTGGTTTGTAGCTCCACAGCCGCAAGATCAGTTCTAGAAAAAACCCAAAAACTTTGGCACAGAAACATCATCATGCAAACAATGCAGCTGCTTCATATCAAATGTTTGCGCAAGAGAGAAGCTGAGTTTTGAGGCTCGAAATCGTGCCAACTCTGTGGTGAGGTTGGAACTTGGTTGAAAAACGGCATGAAAACGCAAAGATTTTCCAAGCGTCAAACAAAATACCTATTAAAAAAGCTTATTCTATCTCGTAGCTTTGGTAGAAGCTACTTAGAGCGCGTAAACCACAGAAGAACGGATGTTTTTGGAGCGCAATCATTCCAAAAGCATTTAGAGCCTTCTCAAAAAAGTAACGGTAATCGTTTTGAACTGCACTGGGTTCAGTGCAGGGCAGATATGTCAGACTTTTTTACTGTAACCCTACAAAAAATTTGGACTCAAATGATTGCAATCTTGAATGAAAAATGGACCTTTGTTTGAGGTGTTCGTATAATTATGAACCGCTAAAAATTCGCATTAGGCACAAAAGCACTCTTACAGTTGTTGACATCGATTTCCATTCTTATGGATCATATACCGTTTTCGGCTGTGTTCTATCGCGTGGTACCAACGGCTTTTTGAGTTTCTCCCAAAAAGTTCGAAAACTTACAAAATTTTGGGTGTTCGTATAAATATGAACCGCACTTTAGTAGGCTGGCAAACACATGGTTGTACCAAATTTTGGAACATTTTATTGACAACAGAGTGAGTTATGGCACTTTTTAGAGTGGACCTATAATTTTGTCCAGCACTGTAGAAGTAAGCCAATATGCTACATATTGCATCCACGAACTGGGCACCCCTAATCTTTCCTAGCAGAAATTTCTTATTTTTTTTTCTCCTTCAACAGAATGGCCGTGAAAACCCCTTTACGCAACTTTTTAGATTTTTTGGGGATATTTTGAAGGGCTTATTTCATAATGGCTTTGTATGATGGGGTTCCTACCGTAATCTACAATGAAGAGCAAAGTGGAACCAGCTCTAAACAAGGGTATCTCAAAAACGGTGAGACATCGGGGACAGAAAGATGATAGGACTTTAATGTACGCATTTTTGGATCTATGTTTCTGGAAATTTTTCGAGAATCATAAATGAAAACCAACCAAAGGATATGCCAAGCCATACATGGATGGGAAAGCAAAAATGATACACGAGAGGTTGAACTGCCCAACTGTCAAAGTTTTCTCAGCTCTAAAGAAGATCTTCATTAATGTAAAAATCTTAAGATAAAAAAAGGTTACCTTATATCCCTAATGGGTATTAGTAGGCAGAGATAGGAGAGATAGAGCACAGCGTGAAGCACAGCGCAAGGCAACAGCATTTGTGTTGTACGGTATGTCTCATGTATCTGAATGATAATATTAGAATGGAACTTCAGAGAAACCAGAGGCGGCATCTATCAGTTTCCCAATCAAGCGATGATCGGGCACTGATTCACCGTTGTAAACGAGCGCTTGATTGGGCAATGGCGCTCAAAATTATCTAAACCATCATCTATCAAAGTTCTGCGTGCATCTTGCCAGTGCCCGACATGTCGGGATCAAAAGCTCCTGGTTTACACGGCGGTGCGCACGAAGCCACAATCCCTCGATCGGGCGCATTTATAACGTCAAAACGGCGCCCAATCATTGCCTGAGCCGGGTAATAAATACCGTCCCAGAACAACGTGTGACTGACCTGGAATCGCTTGCTCAACGAGTATTTGGCTATATTTATACCCATTCCATCAGCTTCCGACCTTGAGAGAATCAGAACGTAGCCGAAAAGCGAGATTGTGCCTACTTCGACCATGGTGCAGATGCAAATTCGGAAAAGCATTGCGTACCGATCCGGAAGAGAAGCGCCGTCGCAGATGCAAACCCCTTGGTCCCTAGAATTTGTTTCTGCACAAGGTACAATTTTCTTTTTTTGATTTTTTTGATTTTGATTGTATAGCATCTGTTCGTTATTGTGCTGTTTCCAAGCAACCCGATAAAAGCAAGAAATTGTTTGGTGTTGTAACATGCTTTGAAAAAAAGTGTGACTCATATAGAAGAACAACACTTCGTCAAACAAGCAAGCAACGGCTACTTTTTGCTCAAAGTCAAAGTCCATATTGAAGAAAGTTATGTAAGCACCTATGGACAAAGCCAAAATCACTTCTGGCAATTCTCGTTGGAAATGAAAAGTCCTAATGCTTCTGTGCATTTTGATTTTGTTTTGAACATTATAAAAGTTGATGTGAAGTTCTTGCAATGCACTGAGTTTTCAAAAATCACAGAAATCAAGGATTTCGCTTTACGGCAATTTTCAACGCGCAAATGTTGTTGGCACTTACCACAGCAATTTATCCACGCAGATGTTGTCGTCACCGTATGCGCATCATGCTGGCTGTCAAATCTTTCAGACTTTGGTTGAAAACGCTAGTTCAATAATATAGATTTTAGTTCTTAGAAAGGTGAAATACCATATTCAGTAAAGATTTAATCAAAGACCTTTTGGTCAGGTGTTAGCTGAGGTATAAAGAGACTGAGAAGTATGTAAAATGATTTAGACAGGGTTAGCTCAAACCAGCTTACGCAAATAGTCTATTTTATACAACCTGGATGGAAAGCCGAAGTATCTATTGTAATTTTCAGGAATTTTTCTACGGGACGAAAGTTTCTCACAAAATTCTCCTCATTGTGCTTCCTTTGACAAATATATCATCGCTGAATGACTGAGAAAATAGAGGCGTTCATTCAAGGAACCCAACGTTGCCATAATACTAGGTTCACCAAAGTTTAAATGATCCAAACACTTCTTTAGCAATTTCTCAAGATTTGTGGCGCTATCTCACATTAGTCGCTAGATCGTTTGAACATCCTTAAGTTCCTCGTTCTCAAACCCCTTCCTACCAGTAGCGTACAGAGGGAGGGGGGGGAGGGCCCCCCCCCCGAGAATAGGTCGCGAAATTTTTGAAAGTTACTTAAATTTGCTATAAAATGTGCAGAGGACTTGTTTTTACTTGTAATTAATTGAAATAATTTTTAAAAATTTTTAAAAATTCAAATTAGCCTTGTAAAAAAATTTTTTCGGAGCGTGGCTACCGCCACGCCCCCTTTTTCTGAAATTTTGGGATCAGAGGCCCGGAAAAATTTTGGGAAACATCCCAAAAATTTTTCGGAGTGCGTGGCTAACGCCACGCACCTCCATTAGAAAAATTTTTTTGTCGCGTCTCCCCCCGAGCCGAAATCCTGGGTACGCCACTGCTTCCTACTTTCATATGCGTTGCAGGCACGTGTATAGATGTGCGATATGCATTGTTAATAAAATAAGGAAATTCGAGAACTTTCTCTCACTAAAAAAGTACATTTATTTTGTAATTCTTCGTCATGGCATACTGTATACGGAATGTTTTATTCAAAGAACCTTCTATGTCGATGAAATGGATCATGACAAGCAAGAATGTGTGAATGTCAGTTTCATCCAGGACATGCAAAAAATGGAGAAAGGACAGACTAGTAAAGCGCCTCTGACTGAATGCAAAGTGCAAAAGTAACGTTTTGCCTTCTATTAAACTTAAACAGAACGACTAATTTGAGGAAGAAAAGGCGTTATGCGAAATGAAATCAGATGCGTGACCCCCCCCCCTCTCCCTATAAAAAAACAGCTTCAAATTTGTGTGTATTTTTGCCTTCAAAAACCAGGTGAAGAGTGAAGGAGAGAGTTTTAACATTTGCAGATCTACGGATGATAGCAAAATTTTGGGAAGAAAAATCAATAAATCGATGTTATCGAATAATATAATAGCCATTTGAAGTTTCTAATCGTGTACTGATAGTCGAGACTTATATGGAACATATCAACTGCAGTTATGAATGTATGAAATGCAAGTTTGCAGTCTCGTGTTTGATTTGACGGTTTAATATAGTGTTTACTGCGACATTACTTACAAGGGAATGGTCAGAAATCGAATTGGCCATTCCAGACAAGCTGCGTACCGTTAGGTGCAGCATGAAACGCTGACTCTAAATCTGTCTTCCTTACCTGCTTATCGCTTTTCTGGACGAAGCTATAAGCCATTAAAGAGCGTTATTTTGCTTAGAAATTATGCGTGAAATTGAAAATTTAGCCGTACAGAGCCACGTTCGCCTCAATGCTGGGCCAAAACATGCAGCTAGCTTACTCAAAATTTTTGAAGCCAAAAGCTGAGCTGAAAGTGCAACAATGTGCTCAATTTCGCTGTTTTTATATATGATTTTTTCACAATAAAATTGCTTGTAGCTTCTTCCGCAGAAGCGGGAAGCAGATAAGGAAGACAGATTCGAAGTCAGCGTTTTATACTGCATCGAATGATATACAGCTTCTTTGGTTTTGCCACTTCGACTTCTGACCATTCCCTTGTTAGCGTAGAAAATAGTCCTTAGCGCACATTACTGCAAATTTGCTTTCCTGGCCATTCAACAACAAATAACACCCGAATTGCAAGATCGTCTCATCAGCTGAATAGTGACTCCAGACTTGAGGCCTCGGGCAGAGTTCACGCGATTTGATCGTCGCGATTCAATCGCTAGAAGACAACTGTTACGAGTTCATTGCATGCCGATTAGAGCTTGCATTTCGGTTGTGATACTCCAGCTCGAAATTTTTGAATGTAAAATGAAAATGAATGGAAATCGCGGCGATTAAATCGCGACGATAAAATCGCGTGGACTCTGTCCGAGGCCTTAGGGATTCTTCCAATTCAAAGAAGTTCTTGTTATGAATGGCTATGCCTAGGCAGAATGCAAGGGATACGAGAGTAAGCTGTGTTGTAATGTAACTTTAGTAAGGCGATTCAATATGAGATTTTCGCAGTTTTTGAAAGAGAAAATATCGAGCATTTTCCAAAAAGTGAAAAATGTTGGACAATAATTTGGTAAATAATGATTGGATCACTTTGATAGCGGCAACAAAGCTACTCACGTCAAGTTCATGACATAGTTGATTGTGACAAATGCAGCCGCACATACAGCGAGAAGAAAAATTACCTGAAATTCGATTATAGGCAATGAGGCAAAGTTGGATGATCGAGGGTTTCGTGCTTTACCTTCACACTATCGGATATTACCGCGTTGGGGACGTGTTTCCTAGTGGCAATTAACCTTTCTGTTCCTACTCCAACCATCAGAAGACATGTAGCCGCATCCCAAGGCACCATCAGGGTGTTGATCACGGAGCACCACGGGCTGAAAAAGGTTGAGAAAGAATGGTTTTTCAGTATTTTTTATCACGTTATCCACACCATCGTTCACTGTCGTACTTTGAAAAATTCCGATCACAGCGATTGCCTCTTAGGTTACTTGTGAAGGCTGCTACAGAACGAAGGCGCAGAAGCAGTATTGGTTGATCGGACGCGAAAGCGACGCGCGCGTATCTTCACTGTTGTAGATCCTGCGCTTTAGGCGCTCCGCAGCCAAAAAAAACCGCGTTTGCGCTCAAAGGTATTGCGCCTTCGTCATGAAGCAGCCTAAGGTCATGTTGCAAACAAACGATAAAGTGTGAAAGGCTACCATTTGGATAAATTATTTATGAAATGTAAAATTAATTTTAGTTTTTATTTAGCTAAATAGTCACATTATGATTATACTTTATAGAGTCGCAGTTCTTGTTGCGAATAGCATTGTATACGAAAATTAGCCTTTATTGAGTTCCTCCCTCCCCCCCCCCCCACCCTATCCCCTTCTCCCCAAAAGCTATTCTTGTCCATTCGCCTTATAGTAGTGCCATTAGAATGATGGAAAGCAACCATCATCCATATAATTATCCACAATTGTTTCAAGCTGCAAGTACTATAATAAAAAAGAAGCTTTTAGTCTTTCAGTAGAAAGCATTATGAAACAAAAAAGTTGGAAGATTAATGTGCAGCCTTATCGTGGAGCGTAAAACCTATGTAAATCTTTCGTACACCATGTACTTTGAAGACAACCCTTTTCGCAAGGTTTTGAATATTTGTATGAATGCCTATAGTTCTTTTTTTCAATTTTCAGCATTCCTCAACAATAAAAGTAATAGCTGGACGGTGTTACATAATCTCTCCAGATATCACTGAAGTCATTGTCACACGTCGAAAAAAGTTACGTGACAGAGAAACTCCATTTTCCAGTCACTTTACTCAAAATTATTACGAAAAGAATGTGAGTGCAACTTTTCGCATGAGCTTCCAACACTACACTAATGATTGTTCGGAATAGTATAAGAAAGAAAGGTGGTGATGATTGAAAGCTTTTAGAAATCTGATTTTCAGTCAGATAATTGTTTAATTTTTAAGAGGAAGTTCAAAAGTTAGAACGATAAAACATGAAGCTGTTGAAGATTTTAGTCGATTCAATCGTTAACTTCCCAGTTTTTTCTTTCGATATTATTGTTAAGAATAAAGATTTGTGAGCGACAGCCAGAAAGGAATTTTTTACCAATATTTTGAGTTTGAAGTTTGATTTCCACTGCTACTGACTTGATTGGGTTGTCTAAATAATAATTTGTTTTGGCATGAAAATCTTTATATAAACTTTGTTGTCCTTTATTCATAATATTTTGTGGATAAGTAGTTTAGAGCTTCCTCTATCACATATCAGCTATTCAGCATCCTAAATTATCAGTAAGCGACAGCTACGCCCCAACATGGGTAAAATTTCAGAAGCTCGAAACTGCAATTTTCGAAGCTTCATTTTTATGTTTTAATGGATTTAGAGAACAGCAATTCAGTATTCGGATATAGACAAGTTCCCCTCACCTAACGACTATCAATATAAATTGTGTACTGGCGTTTTAAAACTCTTTGACCAAAAAAATCCTCATATTTGTGTACAATGAGAATGGAATTTCACAATTCTTTGTTGATTTCTTCCATTGTAAATAATTTCTACAAACAGATATTATGTTCCAGTTCTCACTGAAGTGCTCTTTCCAGCGGTACCGAATACTGGACAAAAAATGTGTGCAGCATCTGTAGGAGCGCAAAACCTGCCGAAATTATTTATTAGCCAACCTTAGCTTTCAGTGGATGCTGAATAATCTGTTAGAAATTTGGTAGCATAAAAAAGCCAACAATGTCTTGAACATTGTTGGCTGTTGGCATGTTTGCTTTGTTTTCCAAACAAGTTGTAGCCTCGTCATGCACTTTATCAAAAAAGGGTAGACAGTGTCGCACATAGGTGAAAAGTTACACTAGTCATTGCTTTTTAGGTGAAGAATCCCATTCGCTAAAAGATGTCCCGGATTTTTCTGTTTTTTGTTTACTTCATTTTTCTGTAATGGCTGAATGGCAACATTACGCTTTACAAGGACAATCCTAGCGAAGCAGCTACTTTTCTGTTTGAGTTCAACTGCCCACTCCTCCTCATGTTTTTATGCATTTGCAGGCTTTTGAATTGGAATGGTATAGTCTTGCAATGATGCGAATCTCACAATGATTGTGTGAAAGGAGGATGCATAAAAGCTAGAAAAATTCTAGAATTAGATTCAATAAAGAATGTAGGTTCTTCTCCCCCCCCCCCCTCTCCTAACACCGAGAACAGCTACGCATGAATCAATTTCACGCTTGCAACGATTACAAATTGCGCGCAGTTCTAAGTTTTGTGTCCTATGGATATTCGTTCACGCGCAATTGTTGTCGGCACCGCAGCGTCACTATCCTAATCGGTTAATTTGCTAGTACCTCGCTATTTTCCGAAGTTGGAAGCCAAAATGACCCAAGTTACTTTGTAATCACAAACATTTACTGCTCTGCTCTCAGACCGAGTGTACTTATCCCTGAGACTAGCGTGGATCATTGGCTTCTTAGCGTTTCCTCGCCGCTAATCCGCGCTTTCGCCTATTCAGAACCCTTTCCGTTGCGGTGTTCTCTAATGCTATAATAACTCCCTCCCACTCCATAGACGGGCAATCTCATTACGACCACCACGTACATCGTGGCCATCGATGCGAAAAGTCAAAGATTATTAAAGAGTGTAAGCACCACGGTGATTGCAATGATTACTTATCGTCGCTTTTTTTGAATTAAAGAAAAAATAAAAAATAAGGCTGGAAGGTAATGAATTCTATTCTTGGAAAGTACTGGGAAAACGACACGTCAAGTAGCGCAAACCAGTTGTAAGTTCGATAGAAAACAGCAGTTAGCTTTTAACCTATTATCCGAATAGATAGGCAATTTATGATACAGAAAAACTTAGAATTCTTATTTCCACTTTTTTAGAAATCAAAAAAACTCAACTGCGATTTTCCCTCAATGCCGCAAAAACCAGGAAAACTGACTATTAAACCCTTTCTCTTTCACTTCTTATGGCCGCCTTAATAAACTTAAACTCGTTTAACTTCTCCACTACCCATGGATAATAATTTTGTGTCTCATAGTTTGCAAAGCTGCGTTTTTTCCGAGCAGCAGCACACGTGACGCTGTAGCTTTTGTAACGTCATCTGACGCTACATTCAGCTGATTGGGCTCTTGAGTCTGATTCAAAATCCATTAGCCTGATATGTGGTACGTATGAGACCCACACAGATGAAAGTCTATTGATAGAATATATATGCCCTTATATGTTTCAATCAACTCCACTATCATATCGCATGTGATTAGCGAAATCTTATCTTATTAATTTGAATAATTTCGAGAATATCTTTTTAGGAGCAAGTAGTCTTGTTGCCAAGTGGAGAAGTTTGACACCGATGCTTGTTAGCTAATCGAGCGTAACAACTATCAAACAAAATGTTTAGGTGTAGTAACACTAAAGTCAGTGGTAAGAGGACTATATTCAAAGCCAAGTAAATTCGTTTTTGGATTAGAAGACCTAACAATCGAAATAACAATTGCAGTGTTATAATATACTCTTAACCTTTCTTCGCAGCTGAGTTTCCAAAAATGTCAACTCAAAAATGATTAGAATCATAAAAAATAAAAAAGATTAATTTGTTACGAGCTTTAAAAGATAAATTTGCCTATTCTCATCTCGTTCACATCTCGCTTTGGCCACCAATAATATATCCAGAAAGTACCACAGCAAGACCATTGATTATCCCGTATCCCAGCAGTATTTATCAACTAAGATTCAATTCAAAGTATTTTATTTACTGCGCAATAGAAGCGAGTTATGCAAGTGGAAAATCTCGCATCTGAAATCATAAGCTTCACGGAATAGAAAAAGCTAAAGTCATGCAAACTTTACAGTTATGACGTCACACGTATTTTTGATGCTCTTCTCCCATAGAAAAAAATTTCTTGTCAAATCTACAAGATTCTCAAGTTCAGGTGCAGCATTGGCGTGCGCGTTTATGTAAATTATCCACTTTGGACGCACTAGAACTGAACTACAGAGATAGTGAACTGCATAGAATAAGGGTGATTATTGAGCGTGTGCTGCTAAATGGGATCTTAAGTAAACACAAGCGTAAGTTTTGAAATTGGTCTAAATGAGAGTTATATGATACTGCAAAGATTTTGTTTACAATGCAAATTATTCCAATTTCTTGGAAGTTCAAAAGTTGAAAGGTGAAATTACTTTGCATTCGAAAATTCTTCAAGGTGAACCCCTTTTGTTAGAATTTTTAAACGCATTCCAAGAAGCTGTTTGGATATTGCTTTTATTTGTGAGCAAATGGAACATCTTCTTGGGGATAGCTCCAAATTGCTACTCATTGTCAGAAGAATTTTGTTTGGGAACGCGTGCCCTTTTTCAAATTCGCACCTCAAAAATTTGTTTCGATATCCCTTGTACTTCAAATAATCATATCAGGGATTAATTCAAGTTAAAATTGCGGGAAACTTTTTGAAAATGCACCTTTCCTTTCAAAACTTCAGTATCGCATCTTGAAAAGTTGATTTGGTTTGGCTCACTGCAAGCAACTATATTAAAATCTTTCAGGGAACAGTTCAGATTAACTCTTCAAGGAAGAGATTCGAGGGAGGGGGGGGGGGGGTCTCCCTTGCAAAAATCTCAGGGCACCCCTATCATTAATGGGTTATTTTACTGGTACATAATCGAAATATCTCTCATTGGTTCAAAACAGCCTTGTAAGAATTTACTTCAGGGAGGGGAGGGAGAGGGGGGGGGGACGCGCCCTCCTAATTGTACCAAAGCAAAGAAGAAAATGTTGTGAATAGCGTGGCGAATGCCACACCTTCTTGTTCAGAAAATTTCTTCTCTCAAACTAACCCCTCTCTTCCCCCGCTTCTTCCCTCATTTTATTGAGCCGTCCCTCACTTTTTAGGCTAGTAATTACAATCTTCTAGAAGTTTTCTTTCAATTCTTGCTGGCCAAATTTCACTCTGCACGTCGCACTAACGCAACTAAATAATTCATGACAGTCTCGTGAACAGAGCCACGCAACACTCAGCACCGAAACCTTACACCTTTGCTCAGAGCAAAGTTGGTTGAGCGATTGTAAACACACACACGACAGGTCTGTGTACTCGGTATAGGACGCGCGAACTAGCGAATTAGCTGGATATGCAGTTACTTGCTATGATAATAAGCGACAAAAGAAAGGAAGTTTTGCAGGGGCAATACATTTCGTTGACATTTCCAAAGTGCAAAATGAGATTTATGAAGGCAGACTAACATTTTATCCAGGGAGATTAAAGGTAACTAGGAAATATAATGCTATTCAAAGTTTCTGGAAAGTTGCAAACTTTTGTTTGTTTGATATTTCTGAAAAAGACAAATGATATAATGCGTGTTCTAGCACCTCTATAAGTAGATAATTTTTGTACATCACTATTTTATGTCTCAATAAAGAGATGTACACTCAGACCATGACTGTCAAATTTTGGTCGCTAACTATGCCAAAAATCAATTAGAACTCAATTCGAGTTTGAGTTTGGTTTTATGACCTATTCCATATCATGAAGATGTGCTGATCGGTTTTCTTTACGACCAGACATTCGGAAACATTTGTTCAATTTTCCAATTTTGTATTAGATAAAATTCCAATGTATTTCTCAAGTTAAAACACATAGATGTTATATAATAGATTTGAATATGAAATGTGATGCATTTTGAGTGTTCTGAGCATCATTAAATGAATTTTTTTATGATTTTTGCGGCGAAATCTAATTCTCTATCCCAGAGTTTATTTATATGATACAAAATTGTCCACATGACGGTACGAAAATGAGAAAATTGTGGAAAATACTGCCCTTACTCTCATTATGAAGACTTTTTGACTGAAAAAGGTCGTATTATATTAGGTGGGTGCAAAAGTTCTGTCGTTTCATTTTCAAAAATTTGTAACTTCGCCAGATTTCAACGGATTTGCTTACTTGTAATTTTATTAGAAAGAGGTCTTCCGCTTTCAAGCGCTGTTTTGTGTAGCTTCTATTTCGCACTGTGTGCCGAGATAAAAATGGGAAACTAAGACCATGTAAACTTTGACCATTTTAAGTTAGGTCACCAAAAATCTGGAATGCTGCAGAAAAATCTGAAATCGTCAGTATATATGTTTTTTGGTCTACTCTTTGCAATTGTGAAGAGTTTGTGCTGTTTGAACTTCTCCGTGAGAAGTTATGAATATCGAATTCACCATGGAAAACGCCAAAATCAATTAATTTGTGAATTTTCGCGAAAACCATAACTTCTTACAGTAACCTCCAAACAGCGCAAACTCTTCACAATTGCAAAGAGTAGGCCAAAAAACATATGTACTGACGTTTTCAGATTTTTCTGCAGCATTCCAGATTTTTGGTGACCTAACTTAAAATGGTCAAAGTTTACATGGTCTTAGTTTTCCATTTTTATCTCGGCACTCAGTGTGAAGCAGAAGCTACACAAAAAAGCGCTTGAAAGCGGAAGACCTGTTCTTTCTAATAAAATTACAAGCAAGCGAATCCGTTGAAATCTGGCGAAGTTACAAATTTTTGAAAATGAAACGACAGAACTTTTGCACCCACCTAATAATTTACGCCATATGCGTCAGCTTCGGAAAGTGCTATCATTCGCCCTAAAACTCCACAATTACTGCTTGTTCTGTGGTATCACCTACGCTCCAGAATTTTTTGCAAAGTCAAAGAACACTCAATGAAGAGACTTCAGAAGTATCCTTCAGAAATTCTACATACCATGTATCTCACGTAGCCTTTCTTTCAGTTCATAAAGGCCTGTTCTTTGTGCTCATTGTAATGTAAAAATGGCAGGAAAGAGAAAATGTAGCGGAATTTATGCAAATTTCATTATGCCAAGAAACCAAGCAGCTGACATCAGCGCGCTCTGGCAGAAAGACATTTTTGTGATGCTCAGATCAAAGACCAGCATCAAAAAATTATCCATAATTTCATAAATCAGTCTAATTATGATGACTCAATCAGGGTAGTGCAAAGCTGTTGTCAGAAGGCGTGATAATTTTTATCCCCTCCCCCGCCCCCTCTCGCCTTTTTTTTGAGTGTCATATGATGCCAACACTAAAATTGCAGGTGATTACAGTCAGAGCTGCGTTAATTGCACAAATTTTCTTTTTTTCTGAAATAGATGCTGAGCCTTTCGATGTGACTTTTACTTTTTTTCTACAAAATGTATACTTAGAAAACAAAAATAATTACTTCTATATAACTCAAAACAGCCTTTGCAAATTTTCAGCGCGAACACTTCCAGGAAACGTGGCTTACGCTTGATCTGCTATACAGCTAAGCCACCCAATTTCAGGCATTTTTTGGAAAATCTGTTCTCTCAAGCGTTCTAGCTTTGGCTAAATTCATCAAGTAGAAGTTCTCCCAGTGATCAAAAGCGCTTCCCCAAACGATTATCTTGAGCTTAGGCAAACAAAACTTGCATTGCATTTTGCAAGTTTTTTTCAACAAACACTGGCAGAATGTTTAATGGTGTAGTAGTGTAACTCATTGATTTGAAAAGATAAAACAAAGCAAGTGGTTTTTGCTTTTCACGTCACAAACAAATTATATTACAAATGCCCTACTCTAAACATCTTTCTTTTTTCCCCATATGGTTTATGAAGTTTCTCATACTCTGATCCCTGCCCATAATAAAGACCAGGTTACTGCCATACAAAATTAGAATTTCACTATTCAAATGAGTTTGAAAATAAAATGTGATCCCCAGGAAATCATATATTTTAAACTCAATTGTGTTTCTGAAAACTCAATGAAAACGCTCTAAAATTTGTACTGAGAATACGGCACTGCTGAGCATGTTTTCGACAGAAGCAATGGAATTTGAACATTGTGAACTTTTCGGTAATTCCTAGCTCGCAAGCAGTGGTTCGTCGTAGATTTCTATACTTTGTGATTTCACTTATTTCTGTTATAGACGTGTTTCGCGGTGCCATAGTATATCCTTAGTACAGCGTTTTTATTGAGTTTTCAGGAAAATAACTGAGTTTGGAAAAAGATGCGATCCCTAGGGATCCCCGGGGGGCAAAATAGTGACAATTTAATCTTGTATGGCAGTAACCTGGCGTGAGATATCAGCGTAAATCTTCATAAGCCGTATAGAGAAAGAAAAAAAGGATATCTGGAGTAGCAAAATATAACGCGTCCTCTCTCAAATCCCCTCGCCTTTCGCGCGGATGTATGTGCATACGGGCCTAATTGTTTGATTTAACAATATGTACACAGTGATGGATTCTGGTACAATCTTGATGAAAGAAGAACTTTTGTATAAACTATAGAGCTGGAGGTGTTTGCTTTATACACCAGCATGAGTTTGAAGGTGAGAAATAAATGCTTCCACGCGTATCGGAATATATAAGGAACTATACCACATAGACCGCAAGGACAAATACTCATACTCAGGACATATTGTGACTTCATATGGATAAGATTTGATCCTCCTCTTAAGAGATTGATTCGTCACGGAAATACTACGCATTATTTTTTCCCTCCTCAACTTTTCTACATCTTTCTAGATTGTGATCACACATGTTGCCTCGAGATTATAAGTTGTGCAGTGTTAACGTCATGTCTTTCCTATGAATGAGGCGCTTAATGAATTGGTATTTGATCTCAGACATTGACGCACTCACTTCCTTTGTGGTTCGTCGGGGAATCCATGGGATCCGAGATAGAGAAAATAAACGTTGTAGAGCAATCCAGCACAAGCATTCACAGCCAAACATAACGAGATCGTCGACAACATCAAACGCATATTTTTATGCATCACACCGGAGCGCTAAATTGAAAAAGTTCAGGGAAAGAAAAGTGAGAAGAAAATCACCATTTCCGATAATGCCGTAAAGGTGCTAAAAGTTCTAAAAAAAACAAAAAAAACGCGAAAAATTGCGTGTTTTCGTGTTTTCTTTATTTTTAGAGCTATATAGTTTCAAACATTAATCGAGTCGTTTTGAGAGCTCTGTTGTAAGTCGACATAAAAAATTTGCCGTACCATTTCTTTTGACAAATTCCTCAGAAAGTGTCTGAAATTCTTTTTGTCTAGCTAACTCTTTATCGAGGAGGCTGAACACATTCACAAACTGTTACGACATTTATTGCATTAAAACTTTGAAGGCCTGATCTGTGACAAACAAAATTGAGTTATTCTATTCTTCGGCTTCGTCTACCAAACCTTCCGCAAATAGCTGTTTCAAAAGGTGTTACAAAGAATTATTTTTCTTTGAAATAAAATAAAAATCAGTTCAAGTGGGTAAAAAGCCATGATTTCTTGGAAATGGTTCCAAATTTATCTCTTGCCAAGTATTTGTCATCCTCCGATCTCTAATTAGGTATTGTCTTGCAGAAATGAACAAGCGCCCGATCTGACTTCGATCACAACGATAAAAAACGCTCGATTAGAAATCGGGAGGACTCATAAATTTCGCCCCTGATTCAAACAAAGGCAAGATTTTGAGTTAAAACTGTCCTAAAGTAATTCTCCCGTGATTTTTTTATGAACCAAAAAAATCGAAGATGCACTTACTGCACAAATGACGATGAAAAAAGTATTGGTCGTAATTGCTGCTATATTGAGCACAGTAATTGCTGATTGCAGCGCAAACCATCCAACATCGCCATATTGGTGAGCGAGAGGACATCTGTTTGATTCTCCCGCTAAATGAGCTTGCACTATATCATTTACTTATTGCACTTATATAGCAGACACTCCTACAAGCCCTCAGAATTTCCCAATTACTTGCACTTAACTATCATTTATAAGCACAATCAGTGCACAAGCAATCAAACTGGCTAAAGCAAACTTCTATTCACAAGCAGATTAGCACTTAGAATTATTTCAAATTATTTCCAGGAAATAACTACGATGTAAAAAAGTAGATTAGCTATAACTCCTTGTTCCTTCCTGCTCATAACGGAAATCTGCACAAAAAGAGCAAATTGTGTTTGATAAAACGGAAATAACACAAAAAAGAGTGATAAAGTGAGGGGGTCACGGAAACTGATTCTAAAGAAGAGTTTGAAGTGAACAATAACTTTGAAAAAGTTGATGGAGAGCCATTTGTTTCAAAATCACTGAACATAAATGCCAAAATGTAGCATGATTCAGTGAAAGTACTTAGAAATAGTTTTTTTGCGAGCAGGTGATGAGTGAGAACAGAAGAATTACACTGTTTATTTATCGAATCTTTCATCAATCTTTCAATATAACAAAATAACATCGAATAACAGATGGTCAAATTAAAAAATCATACGAATTTAATTTATAATTCACACCCAGAGTGTATTACAATAAATAAATAAATAAATATGCGTTTCTTGTGATGATTTTGAAATTTTTTTTTAGAAAATAACTTCAATCTATGTAAAAAAGCGTTTTTTCAGAATCCTAACGTTATTTCTTATAAGTAAACAGAGTTAGAACAGAATAAATCAGATTGAACTATAATCAAATCAAAGATCTGAAAGCATTAAAGCTAGAACTAAAAATGGCGAAACTAAAAATGAGGAAATTTTGATTTATAAATTTGTTTTAGGACAAACAGCACAATAATAATGCAATTGAAGCAACAAAAATACTATATTGGTAGGATATATTTTAATCTTTGTCGAATTCGCCGTGATTTAGTGTTTTCTACACATACTACAGTTTGATATATGATATTTGAAATTTTTTGCACATAAGTGCGCCATTTAATCATAGCGGATTTGAGTGTAGACTATGAAAAACACAAAAAATCCATTCAGATGGAGAAAAAAAACGTTAAACACAAATGGTGGGAAGAAGAAAAACAAAACATCGACACCAACATACAAGCAAGCCCGCACTATACTCCCATAAGACTACAAGTAGTATTAGCATTGCTGTTGTTTTACTAGAAGTTATTGCCAAAATAAAAAATTACCTTGTTCAGTTTGTATTTCTTCATAATGAAAGCTTAGTTGATCATCTTGCATGAATAGCGATACAACCGCTCAGCTGAATGGGAGGAGCCTAGACAGAGAGTTGCATTCTCGGCCTCATGCCGAGGAGGCGGAGCTTGACCCTATTCGCTGGCATCGGCAATGAAATGTGAAAGTGAGAAACAGAGAATTATACACTGGACAAAATTCCTCAAGATCAGTACACACCACTGAGCTTTTTATTTTGGCGAAAATTATTTTTGGAGGACCCATTGGGTACTGAAAAGGTGTGCAACAAGCAGACCCACCATTTTTTATGGTTGATGACATGAGTATAATACTTAATGTGTCGAGAAATCTCCTTCGCAAAAAAAACGGCGGCAAACTACAGCGAACATACTGACGAGAAACTACAGAAGTACTTTTTCTAGTCTAGATTGGTGTAATTGCACGACTTTTCCAACTTGCTCTGGTAATTACAGATTGAAAAAGTACGAGACCAGGGCACAGTACGAGGTGGCAAATAGGCATCTGTCGAAAGAATTTGGTTTTGCTACCTGTAAATATTGCGATTTCCCACTTATTGGCGATAAACTGAACAGATAGTTCAGTTATTCAATAGAGCTCGCTTTCTTCCTTGCGAGCAATTCGCTACGGTACGGCCATTTTTCTGGGATATTGCAGATGTACGGTAGGTGGGTCAAACATTCAAATTCGCTTAGGTTTCGGGCCGGGATTCTTCATCATGCATGCTACTGTTATGGTGTTGGATTGAATGTATCTAAACATTTTCAATTCGTGATTTTTTTCAGCTACCCATTGTTGGCATTTGAATAATTTGTAATTTGGCATGTAGTCATTTCCTACTTCTACTATTATTTTCTTGAGTATTTGAATCGTTTGACTTTTGATTTGTTCTTTGTTTCATGAACAATGTAGATATAGCTTGATGATACGAATTGTGAGTACATTTACGTGATGCCGACCAAGCAAGCATGTACAAACATCAAATAGAATGGGCACGGTTATTTGTGTGACTACAAAGCATTGTAAAAAAAGCGCACAAGTAGCTCTGTCATGAGGCCTCGTACATTATGCTTTCTAGAGACCTTTTTGAACTGGTACTCACTGAGAAGGATTGTTTACATTCTTGAATTTATCATCAACTGATGGGGGTTCGAAGCGCTTTGTGATAATGTACCAAATAATTTCGAGAGCCTTATCAGAAATTTGCGGTTTCACTTTTGCAGAAAATTGACACTGCAGCAAAGATTAGTGGTTTGAATCTAACAATAAGATCTCAAACGAATTAATCCTCATTCCACAGAGAATGCTTTTGCCGCGCAATATCGCCTAATACTTCCGCCTTCTGCCACTCCAATGAGGATATTGCGTTAATCTACTATGACTAAAATGAGCTTCCCAAAGGGCCTCACAAGAGGGCTCGGCATGGCACCAGAGCATTTTCTAAACGAAATCCCTTTTAATTTTGAAGGCTTCGTACGAAGTCCCCTTTGACCTTGAACCCTAAAAGTAAGAAAACCTTTAAAAGGAAAGTCAACCAAAAAAGTCGCAGTCGTTGATGTGTCTTTTCGGCCACAAAAACGATATCGCTCTTGCTTTTTGTCTCCAAAACGATATCCAGCTTGACCCGGTGCCTGCTGTGCCGAGCCCTGTCGTAAGATTTCAGTTTCATGTATTTGATGCTGTAATTATCGTCCGCTAAAGCAGAACAAACATTTAAAATACTATTTTGCTGTTATACACTCGATAATAACTCAACGAGTTTTGTGCGAACTTTTTACCAACAGTTGGAACAACATGCAGATATACAACAATTCGATGACAGAATGAACTTTCTCTGGTGTGGTATGGTAAGGTATGGTATGGTATGGTAAGTGTCAATCATGAATCCAAAATGAAGACCTAGAGGAATAGAAGAGATTACAACCCTTCAAATATCTTAACGCAGGCGTGATGGTTAACTTAGGTAATACAGAAATGACCTGCTGGAAAATTCTTGTAAAAATCAGCGGCTAGATTTATAGCTGAATGAGTATTATTCGGTGAATCGAAACATACTCTGACCTTAGAATTTACTTCCTGTCATACGCTCGGTATTAGGTTGGTTCACAAGTCTCGTGCCAACTTATAACCAGAAATTGTAACAAACACCCAAATACACAACAATATGATGGCAGCATGGAATTGTTAAGTTCAGCTATGAAACCAAAATAAAAATCAAAAAAGATCAGAATTTTATGTACCTTTAGCAGTGTCATGTCAGTGCCCAAACTTTGGAAAGATACGATGGTTTCTTTTTACAAGCTTGTAACGTCCAATGCTAACATTATCTCCACTGCTAACGCGATTATTAAGGAAATTCCACTTTTCAAAATTTTTCGAATCAAGGAAGTCACAGGGCTAGGCACGAGGTGGCTTTTGGAAAATGCAAAAAAGGAAGTTTTAATTTCAATCTCCCCTTTTAATTTCCCTAAAATTTCTGAAATCCCTTGACTGAGTCTCCTGAAGTGACGTCAAATCATAATCCTAAAAAATCTCCAAAAAACGAAACGTCAACAAAAAAACTTCGTAATTTTTGTGTCTTTTCGGCCACAACGAAACCCCCTATGCTTTTCGTCCCAAAAACGATATCCAGCTTACTTTACAAGCTACCTGTGCCAAGTAATGGGAAGTCATTTGAGTAGAGGAGATTACGAACCTTTGAGTATCTCAACGCAAACTCAATGGCTAACATGATGAGTATAGACTCAATTGGCAAAAGAGTGTTCTTTCCTCCGTCAGGACAAGAAAGGTTACCAGGTAATTTGCACAGGTGTGGGGACATTTCATCAACCTCTAAAAATGTTTTGCGAACATAGCAAAGATTTGATAAGGGGCGACAAAGTACTCAGGTCACCTTGCTGTGGGATCGCCAACACTACAGCGTAGTTTATCGATAAGATGTTGAACGTTATCAGTGCGTCCAAATCGATCATTTTGATGGACACAACTTCTTTAGAATCACTAATTTAGATCTCAAAGATTTTTTGGCACAGCTGATGCTAACAATTAGAGATTTTCTCCGTTTTATTATCTCACAGTTTTTGTAGATTGAGTACTTTTTCTGCTGATTTAAATTAGCAGGTGTTAAGAGCAAAAACTTCATTATTTCTTGATCTTAGCACGGTCGCTTGTAGGTTCGAAATGTTTTCTGCATACGAGCTTTGAATATTTCCAGCTCAAATCTATCAGGTGCTGAGTCAATTCTTGTGTCCTTGATTTTCATTCTTCTCGTCACTGTCATGCATTAGAATAATCTTTTTCACAATCTGAGCACTTCTACATGATTGTTGGAGTACTTTGTCGCATTAAAAATGAGTTGCAGAAATGTAATTCTAGTTTCACAAAGGTTGCATTAATTAGACCGTTCATAAAACCGTGACGACGGATTTGACTGCGGTCTTTGCGCCCACAGGAGCGAAAATCATACAGAAAGGCATCACATCAACTCTCAGCTCAGTCACTTCCAATGTAAATACTGTCGTTTGCAAGCAGAAAAACCGTTCAAATAGAGATGAAACCAAGAAAATGCGGTTGCCAGGAGGTGCGTCGCGTCGCGCGCGGTCGTGCCATCGTCACGATTTTTCCAACCCCCTATATGTAAAGTTGTAAAGGCTGGCAATGCACAAATTTTTGTTCCAGGAGTTGCACTGTCGACGATTTCCTGTCAAGGGCGGTAGTAACAGTAAGATTTTCATTTGGGAGAGCAGGGTGAAAGGGTTGTTGGAAAAAGTTTCTACAAGGCTACATTAGATTGAACAACTTGCTCATATGAAGACGGGATATTCAGGGGAGGGGGACTTTTCATACGATCGAGGACTTCGCACCTAATCTTCGCACCTCTCGACCCCCGCAGTGAGTGAGATTTTCCACTACGGCTGGAAGAGGGGGAGGGGGACTTTTCATACGATAGCTCCCTGATCATCTTGACCTTTCGGCATTATGCTGGAATGCTAGTGATAGAACAACTTATCGATTACAATGGACAGAAAAATCTTAATTATCGAGGATGTACAAGATATTTGTAAGACATATACATAAATAACAACAATTTTTTAATCTTCTTTTGGCAGTATTGCTAAAAGAAGATTTAAAAATTGAAAAATTGAAAATCAAAATTAAAAAACTGATTCCGTAAATACTTCTATTGGGCACTTCCAACCATCGGAGAACTTCTTTACTTGGTCACACTTTAGCTTTGAAGGGATCATAGTAAAAGCCGCTAAGCCACAGCGCAATCATTTTCGTAAATAATTGGCCTGACAATGAAGTCCGTTCCAAGTGCCCTACTTTCTCAACCCTTATGGGGAAGTAACACTTTCAGGCTATGCTAGAAAGTCGGATGGACAGCATATGACACTTTTTCGCAAAAAGCGATTAGATCTAAGAGCAGTGAATTCTGTAAGAAGGGATTGTTGGTGAAGACTCAGTTTCTACAAGTTTTGCTATCCGTTTTAGCTTGTTTCTTCTATAATACTGATGCGGAAGCAAAGGCAAAAAATGCAATGAGTTTAGAATTTTGGGAAGTTTCCCAGTATGAGATTTATGTCAGACGGACTTCACGTTTATTGGGGGTTGGGGTAGGGAAGACCGGACCTTTCGATTAAAATGTTATTTTTCTCGTACAGCTTTCAAATTGCTCTTTTTCTGATTTTCGCTGTGTTGTATAAGCTATTCTAGATGCTTCATTCTTTGGTATGGAGCAGCAGGGCCAAATATGGCTTTGTGCCAAATCTTATTGAATCGTTGCCAAATTCAGTTTGTGCAGATAGCGTTTAACAGAAGCTTTGGAATGGAAAGGTTGTTTTTTTTTTGAAGCTACTGGAGTATGTCCGCATAGATGTAGTATGATATGGTATGATCCTTGCTGTGACCAGTGGGATCAATTTTCGACCCCCCCCCTCCTTCCCTGCTAAATTAAGCCTTACCTTCTGGAGACGGTAAGATACATACAGCAGCCGCTAAGCCCCGCAATTCATAAAGAATTCGCATCCTTTCAGTAGCCTCTCAAATGATGTATCAAGTTTTAAAAAATGCCATTTCTTGAGTCATAGCGAGAGTTTGAACACTAAATTTGGAATAATTCGATAGAGTAAAGAAAGCTTTACAAGATGCTACTAATCATTACACTGTCACTGTAACTCAATCATAGTTTCTCTGTTAAAAATTCGAGGATGTGTTTCTTCCATGATTTATTTATTCTACTGAGCTATTAGGTTCGCTAATAAACAAGCTCGGTCGCTTTTGCGGCTCTTACAAATGCTGCAGTCAGGGCTCGGCACAGCTGGCACCGGGTCAAGCTGGATTTCGTTTTTGAGGTGGAAAGCAAAGGGGATATCGTTTTTGTGGGATCTGCGGAGAGGATCCATGAGCATGCCGAGATGCCGCTGGCACGCTTGCGGCATGCAACCGGCATGATCCACACCAATCAGACAAGAGCGTTGTTTACAAACAAGCAATCATATGACACAAAATTTGGTGTGTGCATGCGCGTTGGGCAACCCGAACTATGGCCAAAAAATTTATGAATACTTATGTAAATGAAAGCTGTGCTGAACTTTTTCCTGAATTAGCTGGCACCTTGCCAGCTGGGTGCCAGCTGGGCTGGCACCGACCCTTGGCTCACATAAGTTTTCATATTTTTTTACATAAATTGTATTCACACTGTAAAAGATTACATACGGAGAAAAAACGATTTCATAATTCTTTTCGGCGTTTCATAGCCACCTGAAAATTTTCGGTCGGCTCCGCAGACGAAAAACTGCTCTAGTCACAAAGCGCGCCCTCAAACCCTACTACATACTTCTACATAATCTAAAAATTTTGTTGGGTCTTCAAAATAGGTCAAAGCGGACTTCGTACGAAATTTTCAAGATCAAAGGGGACTTCGTTTTGAAATTTCCCTAGTGCCAGCTCGTGCCGAGCCCTGGCTGCAGTCTCTGAAAAGAGCACTTCAATGAAAAATGAGCAGTAATTCTGTGTATAGAATTTATCCAAAATCCGCAAAGAAGTGAGGAACCCCATTTTTCTCATAGAGCGCAAATATGAGGAATTATGGCTTTTTCAATAAAAGATTTTCAAAGTGGCAGACCACAATTTCCATTTTTGTTCATCAAATAGAGGAAACTCCTCCGTATTCAAATACTATACTGTGCCCTCTACATCCATTGCAGTATGAAAACGAAGCTTAGAAAGTCAAAGAATTGAGCGTTTAGAAATTTAGCCATGTTGGGGCATAATTGTCTTTACTAATAATAGAAAATCCCGAATATTTGATGTGTGATAAAGGAAGCCTTAATCTACTTTTTCCCACAAAAATTCATGGATAGAAAACAATAAGAAAGTTTTTTCTAATAAAGATTTGCATGCCAGAACGAACTTATTTTCTAGCCAACCTAACATTATGGTTCAAAAAATATGGAATTCGATCCCACAAAAAGGCGACGCTGTGACATTGTTATTGCAGAGAATCTCGCTCTTCTTCCTTATTAAAAGATTCATAGTGCCAACACCCGAGTCTAGCACAAACTATTTTTGCTGAAGCCCCATACATTCATTTTCCTGCAGTCTGTTACATATAAACTCCAACACTTTCTTTTTCAAAATAATCTTATTTCTTCATAACAGATCGCCATCAAAATCAGAGATGGATCCAGCCGTTGCTAAAGCTCACATTCCCGAGCCTGAATACTTCCAATACACTACAAGAGACGCCGTTATCTATGCGCTTGGGGGTAAATGCTGTTCCAGAAATTTCTCGCCACAATTTCTCACCTTCGCTTCCATGAATAGGACAATAAAATTTCAGTTGGTGCACACGCCAAAACCGATCTACGATATGTCTACGAAATGGCTGAAGATTTCCTGCCCTTACCCACTTTCGTGGTAGCCCCAGGTTTGAGGGCTGGTAACATAATGAGTTGGCCAGGTACTAAGACTTGAAGAGTATTGTTTCTTTTTGAATGCATTGAATATTTAGGCATTGAGTTTGATCTGACCAGAATTCTACATGGTGAACAGTACATTGAACTGTACGAGCCTCTTCCAGCTGAGGCAAAACTTCGATCCGAGGCCAGAGTGGTAGATGTTCTTGACAAAGGATCGGGAGCACTGATCCTCACAAACGGTAGGTTACACAAAATCCTCTTTGAGGCCAGCGAGTTCATTAACGATGCTTTTAGCAGTTGCTCCTTCCATAACGAATTGATGAGACGAAATTTAGCACTACATCCTTAAAAAGAGAATGTGAAACTAAAAACTAAGTGAAGAGACACTATTACATTTGCACGAGTGAAGTACATTAGAAGAGTCTCTCCAGGGAATGTCGTATGTTGTTCTCAAAAGGGACTCTTTTTTACTCTCAAACGTAGGAATAAAATTTCCATGCTACAAATCCATATTCAAATGTGATCTCTTTATTCAACACTTAAATAATTGCAGAAGTTTTCTGTTCATTTGTTTTCACTCGTTTATGTTAGCTAAATTTCAGGATTTTCAACTCAAACTTTAGGAGACTAGGTAAGATCCAAATAAAACAGCATTGCTCAGCTGACTTCAAAAATTGTTCAAAATCATTTTATTCTCCTTCTCCATCAATCGATCCGCGCGGACAATTAGGCAAATTACAAATCGTACAATTTAGCCATTTATAAAATCCCCACCAATTGCTGCTAAATGAAAAAACAAGTAAAATTTTCAGCTACAAGTGTTTTAAGCTACAATTCTCAAATTACAGTTACTACTTACGATGAAACAAGTGGGAAAAAACTTTCCATGCAACAACTGGGTATCTTCCAAGTTGGCTCCGGGAAATTCGGAGGACCTCGCAACAGTCCACATGAAAAGCCAGCCGCCGAAATACCGAAACGACAGCCTGATGCAGTTTTTGAGGAAACGACTTCTGTTGATCAGGTAGATAAGATTCGTTCTTTTCTTGTGTACGATTTTGCTTACCTTTAGATCAGGGTTAAGATGGCGGAAAGCGTGTTCGAATCCAGTAAAGACATACCTGCGGCTCAGGAACGTTATAAATTTGGGGTCTAGGTAAAAATCAAACAAAAAAGAAATTTTTTGAAATAGGTGAGGAAAGGAAAACTTCTCTTATTTGGCACCTCGGGTGCTCGCTATATGCACGGAGCAGCGGCGGTCCCAGGATTTGGGACCGTGGGGCGGGGGCGCGCCAAATAATTTTTTCATATGAAGGTGCGCGGCGTTACACGCAAAAAAATTTTAGGGATACTTCTCGAAATTTTTGCGGGTCCCCAACCCCGAAAATTTTTTTCTATAAGGCTAATTTGAATGTTTAAAGAATTTAAAAAATTATTTCAATTGTTTACAAGAATAAACAAGTTGCTTGCACATTTTTATAGCCCATCTCCCACGGTCCGCCACTGGCATTTAAAGTGATGCCTTTCATTCACTAAATTCTTCTATGACTTGGTACATTTCTCCCACTCCACGCTCTGAAGTTTGAAAGAAAGCGTGCGCCACTCCGTGCAGAGAAGCTGTAGCATATGCAAGGGATTTTAGCGCGGCAGAGTTTTGGTAGAAGAGGGAAGGAGTTAAGAAAACCAACTTTATCTTCACGACAAGACCTCAGGGTGTGGAAGCAGAGCTCGTCTGCTTTGTGGAAAATGATTGCACTGTGAATGGCAGCTCATGTTCTGTTGTTGAACCTTTAAAAATAGGAAAAATTGAGTCAACTTTGGTGAAAACTTCTGGAGAAGCAGGTTCATAACATTCGCGGGGTAATGGGAAGTTCTTGGTGAGAAATCAAAAGGAATTAGAAGATGTGCGGTACCTTTAATGGAAGAGGTTGCAGGGAGATGTTAGGTGGTTCGCAGTTTTTATTGGGATTATTATGCTCGATTTGATAGAATTTTGATTTGACGAGACTGTGTTCTCACAATGAGAACACAGCATTCTTGGCAAAAGAGGTATCACACGCAATCAATGCCATACTGGTCGGAAAATGGAGATTGAAAATGAAAAAATGTGCAAATCTGCGTACAGGTGAAATTCTGAAGAAGCGATTTTATGTCATTTGTATGATGGAAGCGCACTACGGGTTGAAACACTCGAGCATTGAAGTAATTCCGCGCCCATTTTGTTGGGGGAATTTTTTATAGGAGAAACTTGTGCCACTTACTGTAACACAATAGTATTATAGAAGCAACTTCGCGGTATTTGAATATTAGGTTGGCGAATAATTTCGGTTACATTTTGATTCAAATTTCTTGAAATAACTAAAATGCTTTTCAAAAATTGCATGTTTGAGGCATGTTGACGGAGTGTCCACCCATTGCTACCGTCATCCGCCGTCTGTGCGCAAAACACTCGCTATGTGTGAGAGTACGTTTTATGGCCATTTTTGTCAATTCTGGCATTCTTTCAATTGATTAGCGATAGGCCGGACAATATGGTAGTCAGGCAAGGTATAGCCCATAGTTTCGAGCGAGTATGGGTGACACAATCACGTTTGCACAAGTTCATCTGATGCGCCATGTTGGAGCACGTTCGCATTTTGACACAGAGGGCATTTTTGCAAAATTTCAAAGAACGTTTACAGTACTAGTTGTAAGTATCAGATCAACACGATGCACGCAAAAAAAAGAATTTCCGACAAAATTTGATGGTTTTTACATTTTTTCACCTCTCGTTTTGACACTTAGCAGCACCGGAATGCTATCATAAGAAATTACCAAAGTACATTCTAAAAAATTATAGGAGAGAAAAAACACGCTCATATGCAGAAACAAAATCAAGGAAAAATGAAGACTTGTGATTGTTTATTAAAATTGCTGTAAACTTGCTATTTGTGCATTTGCGGCATCAGTTATGCCGATGCCGGTAAACTCTATTCTGTCCTATTTGCGAGAAAGATTAAAAGATTTTAAAAACCTTCTGGAATTTGATGTCCGCCAACCTCATACAATACCGCTCGGATTTTTTGAAAACAACGCACAGTCGCCCGATTTACGTGGCATCACCGTCGCGTGGCCATATCTCGCGTCAGAGTGGACCAATTCTTAATCCAAGGGCACCATTCGACTCAGCTCGGCGCGTTGCATCTTCTGATAAAAGTGTTTTCTTGAAGAAAGTAGGAGGCCAGATTCCATGAACTTTTTCAGATTTCCGCTTATCTAGGTAATCGCTCTTATCGTGTCGGTAGGTTAGTAAGTATGCTATTTTAGTGCACTGGAACTACCAACCGTGTGCAAAAATCTGAAAAGATTCGTGGAATCTGACCCTCTTACCGTGTCAAGACAAGCGCTTCTATATGCAAGAAGATGCGCCGCGCCGAACTGACTTGAATGGTGCCCTTGGATTAGGAATTCTTCCACTCTGGCGCGATATATGGCCAGCGACGGTGATGTAACATGAATCGGGCAAATTCGCGTCGTTTTTTTTTCAAACACTAGCGGTATTGTAGATGTACTGCAGCTTCGGAATTAGGCACTATCGCCATGTCTCGTGAAAGTTTATGAGATAGAAGCGTTGTCCCTGAATTCTATGGAAAAATTTTGAACTGCGAATGAATTGGCCATCTTGGCAAGAAGTCAGTATTGCGAAAGAAAACAGGGCTAACCGCGCTGGGAGCTTTTACTTGTATACTGCTGAAAAATCACGATTCAAGAATATATTTTTATATGAAAGCAACTCTTTGCTCAATCTTGCTGAGAGAATTTTCTGACAAAGTAGAGTGGCTCTAGACTGACTGAAATCGCTTCAGTTCGTTAAAGCCCCTGGACAGAGTTTATGCGATCTCATTGCCTCGCGATTCTCCAGACAAGACAACAGTTACGAGGCCATTGCATGCCGATCAACTTGCATTTCGGTTGTGATAGGGCCATCACAACCAATTAGTCACGATTGATCGTGTCGGAAAACTATCACAACCGAAATTCAAGATGATCGGCATGCAAAGGATACGTAACTGTTGTCGTATTGGAGAACCGCGAGACGGTGAAATCGCGTGAACTCTGCTCGAGGCCAGAAGAAAGTTGTTGCTTGCGAAAGAATTGCATCGAAGAGATAATGTAAGCCTGCAAACTTAAATATGACTCCTGAAGGAAAACGTCAGCATGTGGTGAAAAGTTTGTGTTCTTAGTCAATATGAAAACAATTTGGCTGTAGCTACTGCAGAAAGTTTGGGAAGTAAGGAAGCGTGGAGGTAGGTATGGCTCAAAGAGTACCTTTTCTATGCAGACGTAGAGTAAGTAGAAGAATTATGTGGAAATTCGGTACGCTCTTTATGGATCAGTATGCCATTCTGTACAGTATATCGTGTTTAGCCTTTTTTACAACCGCTTTTGTTTAGGCCGCTTTATACCGAATGGGTTCCGGAGATTTAAATCCGCTACATATCGATCCAGGTTTTGCCAAGGTATATTTTCACTCAAAAATTTTGTCCTCTGTTTCTCCTCTCACCTTATTATAACAGATGTCTGGATTCAAAGAGCCTATTTTGCACGGTTTATGCTCTTTGGGCTTTGCAACACGACATGTGATCAAGCTGTGGGCTGAAAATGATGCCTCTCAATTCAAAGCACTCAAGGTAACTTTCCGACAATGTTCAAAAGTAAATGGTTCAGAGGTGCTGCCCTCGAGGGGGAATAATTTGCAAAGTAACGCAAACATGCAAATTCTTTCTATTATTTGAAGCACAAAAAATAGGTCCAAAAATTAGAAAAGTCCTTGCACGGAAAATCTTCTTGCTGTGATCCATATCAGAATTCCAATCTGCGAATTACTCGAAAAACATGCAGTTCTATTCAAAGCTTTACAAAGCCTTTTATGCATCAACTGAAATAAATCTGCTACTCAGGCTCAATTTCGTGATTAAGTAATGAAAGCATAGAGTATAAACAATCAAACATAATCAAGTTGAAGTGTACTAGCACCTTCTAAGGTCATCAATGCCAAGTTTCCGTTCATATTTTGTCTAGAAGTTGGAGTGAATTACATCCAACATATAATACTACACTAGAAGCTTTTTGCTTTTCAGCTCGTTCATTCTGTGTGTACCACAGAGATTTTCAGGCACGGTTCTCATCCCCCGTCATTCCTGGGCAAACACTACTTACTGAAACATGGAAAGACGGTAACCGCATCTTGTTTCAAACGAAGGTAAAAACCCTCTTCGCTACACTATAAAAGTGTCGTAAAGCTATGTATGCACTGTTTGGTTGATATTTCTCTTCCTACAAGGTCTTTTGTCGGGTTTTAAGTTTCCGCAGAGCTGATTTGAAGTCGGATTTGTAGCATGGTGCAACACATTTTCGGTACAGTAGGACTACGGTAAAACTTCCGGCAAGAGCACTATTACGATTCAACCCCTTTCAAAAAACTTCCAAAAAATCTGAAGAGTTGTTAGCAGAGTTTTTGCGCAAGCTGATTCAAATCAGCTGTTCATGGGTTTCCAGGCTTTTCAATGGTGTAATTACTTTTTTGAGGAAACACTGAGAAAAAAAGCTGTTGTAGATACTCGGGGTGTAACTTTATCAACAAAGCAATGTTTAAGGTGCAAGTTCTCATATTTGTTGTTAGCGATAGTGATAATGGTTGGCCTATTAGGTTATTTGGTTTTTTCTCTGAGGCAAAATATGAAAAATTTCTCGATGTATGCCGTAATTCGACGTTGATAAAGGGCGGTCAATCTTTCACATACTGTAAATCTTTAAAGCCAGTTCTGCGTAAAGGTAACTAAAATTCTGCAAAAGAATCTGTGGGAAGAGAAATACTGACGAAAACTAAACGGCGCATATTCATTTGGAAAGCTCTGTTTTGTCATTTGGAAAGCTCTGTATCTTCTGTTTTTAGGTGAAACAAACAGGAAAAGTGGTAATTGCAAACGCATGGATTTCGCTGAGCAAGGTAGCAGCCTCTGCAGCCGCATCCGACACACTTTCAAAGCTTTGAACACCCAAAGCGCTCTTAAACTTTATCTGAGATCAATAGATCAAGAGAAAATAAGCGCGATCAAATAAACACTTTGGAAAAAGCGACATTTACAGAAAAGAGACGTACAGACAGGAGTAGAACAGATCCGCACACATAAAAGACGAACAACGATAAGTTTCTAGCGAATGTGGTAACATTTCGAGAAAATGCACAGAAAAATATTTACACAAGGGGTGGATGAGGGTTCGCCCAAACGTTGAATTCGCAGCGAAGTTCACATGTACGGAGCCTGAATTTTGAGTTTTGAAGATTTACTCAGGAAAGATTGATTCTACCCTTATTTCTACCTTTATTTCTGTAGTTCAGCTGTAATCTCTTCAATAGTTTTGTTCTTAGTCTCCGGCACATATTTGAGGATGAATAGACCGAAGATTGCCAGGCAGGCAGTAAAAATTAGGATAGAAAACTGTTCGATTTTACCCTGAACCGCGATGAACTCAGTCAAAAAAGTCTGACTTTTTTATGTTGAAAATTGCACATCAGAATGGATAATGTTCTAACTCTAGGTAAGTTTTTAGAAATCTTCATCGCTACGAGCAATTTCAAGAACAATTGAAAAAGTATAAATTTTGTTTACGAATCTACATCTAGAATTACTCAATATTCTAGCCAGCATATTGCTCATTTAGCAGAAGAAAAAGTACGAATTCTGATTCAAAATTTGAAACACGCTGGTCTGTGCTGATTTACATTTTGCTCCTATATGCACTAAAATCCCACATTTATAGGGGGAAACAATAGTCCGACAAGACCGGCACAGATCCAATTTGTCATGGTTGCTACAGCATTTGCATTTCCTCTGGCTTTTGAAGCAAAGATTTCTGACACGAAGAACCAGGGAATGGAGCCTGAAAGAAGATATTTATTTAGATCAAATATTGTAATCTCACGTGTACAAGCCGCATCCAGTTTGCTGTAAACGAGGGCAGACATGAGCGTAACGTGCGCGTGTGCCCCGCGGAGCGGTCGCTCTTCCCTACTATTTCCGCAGTTGACGCGTCCTATGGCCCGCGAATTTCTGTTGCGCCTTTGAATTTGAAAGTTAGGGTACGGCTTGTACTCGTGTGAATAGGGTAATACAAATTCCGACCTGCTCCAGTGGCGAATGATATGACGAATGTGTTGACGAATATGACTGCACCCCAGGCCACCCATGTATGCCCTTTCCTCGAGAAAGTGATCGACAAAGTCAGCAAGGCCGTAGAAATGAACATTCCCACCATTCCAATGAGAAGCAACGTACGACGACCAGCTTTAGGGTGATCCACCTATTCAGAAGAAGCCTCGTCTTTGTATACTGTACTTTTTTTGCGTTCTCACAGTCATACAGTAATCTACAGTCGTATAGATTTGACAATATATATAGTTGCCCTTGCGGTGCCTAGATTAAACGGTAAGGTTTACGTGTGAGAAGACAGCTATGCCTGAGGGACCCGTCATCCTTCGCCGAAAAAAGCCCAAAAAAGCCCAAAAGCCCCAGAAAGAGCCGGAACGTCCCTTTTGCGCGCAATTTTTGGCGCTAAGGCATGTGTGTTGATTTCGCAACCGAGTCATTTTCCTTCATTTCCTGTCGTCTGCACGTGCGAATAATGTCAGAATTCTATCAAAAGTTGAAGGGGCGTCTCGGCTTTTTCTAACGCTTTCGGGCCTTTTTTTGAGGCGCTTTTGGTCTTCTTTATGCGCATTTAGGGTTTTTTAGGCGCTTTCGGGCTCTTTCGGCGAAGCATGACGGTCTCCAAGATTTATCGTCGATTCGTTGACCGCACGGATTGGAGATCATGCGGAGCACGCGCGAGGTAAAACGCTTGCTCCAGTACAAATTCGCCATTATAACCTTTGATTCAACTGTCTTGGCTTCGAGAAGGCGGGACTATGTAAACTAGTTAAGGCCGCTCGCGCTCGAGCTCTCTGATCATTACCTAGCCCTAATCAGTCACGAAGCCCCCCTTCTCGAAGCCAAGCCAGTTGATTCAAATGGTACATATAAGTCGTACTCTCACAACATTTCAGCCGCGTCGCGCATAGTCCACAATGTTTAAAGGAAGCGTCCGGGCAAAACTTCGAATGGAATTTTTTTCCGCTTACCTCTTATTCCTCCCGCTGATTCTGAAAATGCAGCTTGGAGAGCACGAAAACGCCGAAAACGGGCTTTTCCAGAAGCTCTTGATTTGAATGTTGTCGCCTGCCGCCAAGATTAAGACGTAGAGTATTTGTGGGACTACGTCTTGACTGTGTGCGAGGCACTCTGAATTATCGATCTAACTCGTCCCGGTCGCTGGGGCGTCCGATCGCCACTTCTGAAGCGGATTTCTCGCTTCAGAAGCAAACTGGTGCATTGCAAGTTGGGCAAGAGCCTTGTCAGGACGGGCGCCCCTGTACTCCACATTTTTATACATGCCCGGTCCTGCCCTTAAAGGCAGCGGCTCGGCAGGATAGACCTATTTGGTGGGTACCAAGTGATTAGGGGGATAGACGAGTTGTGGAATAAGGTTTATTCGCACGGGCGTAGATTATTCGAGAAGAGGAGTGAGGTGTCCCGGTGTGGACCGGGGAGCAACCTCTAATACATTCGGAGGCTCCTTATATACGAAGGAAGGCGGAGCTGAACCGAGTAAAAGGTACAATGTACACGATTTGGTGCTTGAAAGGAGATGCCGCCGATTGGCTACACTCCTGGCGCACGGGTACCACTCACTCTTGAGTGATTAGATACTCAAGAGTAAGTAGCTCACCATTTAGCCTACGGGGATTCCGTAGGCTATATAGAATATAGAGTTCATCAATGGTTGATGATACAGAAATCATCAACACTCCGGGCGAGCGAGAGGAAAGCGGGATCTGGTAAGATCTTAATCAGAGTAGCAGATACATGTGAAGTTGACTAGCGAATAAGTTAATACCTACGCATACAGAACAATGAGCAGTGAAGGAGGAGCTGCAAGGAAGACATTCACAAAAGAGTACAATTATTAACATAAATTACTAATGGAAAAAGCTCCTGGAGTGGTCGCTGGAGCTGTTGAGCGGTTTGGCGCTGCTTTGTCGTCCTCGCCATTTCCTCTTCTTCCACTTTGAATTGGTAGTAGATGCTTCGGTGATGACCATATCCTTGATAGACGGCATTCTTACACGATGTGGGTTCACGTAATTTCTTCTTTTCGGTGCATTCGTCATCCTCATCTTGGGTTCATTGTTTGCGAACCGCTGCGGTAGCCATTCTATCCGATATCGGGAGCGAACATCGGAGATTGTCATGGAACGTATTGTGGCTAACCAACGTTGTATATCTGCTCGAGCTTCACTGAGGATGGAAGCAGTGAGTGTTTGCCTTGTGAAACTGGATTGTCGGCCTTCGGATGAAGATGGTTGTAGTCTTGTTCGTAACAAAATCGTTTTCCTCTGAACCGTTCCTTCACCTTGCTTTGGCAATAATGGCTTGTTGCCTGTTCGTGTGTTCGTACTGCTGAGATGAGAGTACGAATTGGGTTTCTTCAATCTCTCTTTGTGTTGTGGAAATGTTGGGCGGTTGTTCCTGAGTGTTTCCCTCAGCGTTGATATGCAGCCGAATGTGCCAACAAAACTTGATGTAGTGGTAGTGGCGCTCCTCCCTGATATAACGTGTCCAAAGATGGTTGAAGTCAGAATGAGGCCCGAAGGAAGCTTGCGCCCCCTGTTGTTATGGATAGTGACGAGTTTTAGGAGATCTTGTCCTATGATCATGTCGGGTGAAACGCTTTTGCAGGAGAGCGTATCTTGAGCGATTATCAGCTTTTCATCAGAGATAAAACGCAAATCTGCTTCCGCGAAACTTGCCGTCTGCATATCGGTAGTCAGTTTCTGCTTAGTGTGCAATGACAAGTTCTTGAGCTTCTCGGAGGAGTGAAGGCTTTTCAAGGTGATTTGCACTTCAGATGAGTTGAATTGCTCTTGTTGTTCGCCCATTCCTGATGTAGTAAACGAATTAGTACGAAGGACTGGAAGCTTGAGTTCTTGACAGAGTCCCGCTTTGATGAAGCTTCGTTGTGCCCCAGAATCAAGGAGTATGGTCATTGGTTGGTAATCCCACTCTGCTTCGTTGAAAATCAAGGCGGAAGCGATTTGAAGAACGCTTGATTGTTTGCAAGTGGAAGCACGCCTGGGTTGTAGACTTTTTGTTCATTCTGCGAACCTTGTACGATGTGCATATTACTCATCTCATGACGATCCTGGTTGGTGTCACGTGGTGACCAAGGAGCAGATGAATGTTGCTGAATGTCAAGTGCATCTCGGGAATCAGCTAAGAATTGTCTGTGTTGCCTTGCTTTTGACAAGCAAAGAGATCCGTGGTGTGATCCCTTGCATTTGGGGCACACTCCAATATTCGTGCAAGCGTTCGAGTTGTGATTATTTGCAAAACATCTCCAGCACGCTCCTTGGTTTGCTGCTTCAAGTCGTCGAGCTTCTGGTGTGGTGTACTTCTGGCACTTGTAAGGCGAGTGTGGCTGTCCAGATATACACAAGCGTTTTGGCTTTGAGAAGTGTTCTGTTCCTTCGCATCTGATAGCGCTTTCATTTTCTTGGTTATCCGAGTAGTAGTCCGTTGGAAAGAGAGTTTCCGTCGTTAGCAAGATTGTCTCTCGCAGTGAAATGATGCTGTCGATGGTGTTCAGGATTTCGCTAACATCAAATGGATCATCTTGTACCGCTTCTTTCTGGATGGCGGTCGTACAGATGGATTCGGGAAATTTGGAGAAGATTATTCGACGCCAAACTCTGTCTGCGTTCATCTTTGCTCCCGTTTGCTCCAGGTGAATGATCCTTGAGTTGATTGCTTCGAAGGTTTCTCGGCAACTTTTCGGGTTATCTGACGCCCTCGGAAGTTTTTCGATCTCATTTATGAGTATGTCTGCCATGTTGGCAGAGCGATCGAAGTGTTTCTTCAAGATCTCTGTCGCTTTTTGATATTTCTCTCCAACAACGGGTATGCAGCTCAAGGTGGCTGCTGCTTTTCCCTTCAGTGCTTGCTTTAGAAAGAGGAACTTGTCAGTGTCGGATAGGTCTTCGTCGGCGTGGATGAGAGATTCAAACACTGTCCAGAAGCTGTTGAACTCTCTGAAGTTCCCTGAGAAGGTAGGAATTTCGAGCAGAGGCTTCCGGATTTTTATTTGCCTTTCGTTACGTTCTGGGAGGCTGCCGTTCCAGGTCTGACCTTCGTCGCTGGCAGCATGGCTTGATGTGCTTGGCAGACTGGTGTGCAATAATGCAGCTTGATCCTTCAATTCGTTTTGACGAAACTGAACTTTGTTCTGCCACTGCACGACCATGACTTCCAAATGGAGAGATTCCAACTCCAAGTGCTTTCTGAGTTCTGTCATCAGCTTGTCTCTCTCTTTTTCTTCATTTCGTGCTCCAATGTATTCAATCGCGGCGTTCACTTGTGTGTTCTGAAGTTTAACCGCATTCTGCAGAGAGTTGAGCAGATGCGTTATCTCTCCCATTTTGGTTTTGATGTACGTCTCGCATTCAGTCCTTTCTGCAGGGAAAGTGAATGGTGTGTTGATTTCGTTCACTTCCGACTCGTATGACTTCACGAGTGCGCAGGCATTGTTGATTTTTGACTTGAAAATCTGGAGCGCTGCCATTTTCTGTTTTGCTGCACGGGGTAGGGTCGCGCACTGGTGTAGTGATTCCAAGCGTTCCAATTCGGACGTGTGTATCCTCCTTTTGTTGGTCGCTTTGGCTTGAGGGCGACAGCAGGGCTGGCCTCGATACGATAGCTGTCCTTACTGGTTGCAAGGAAGCCTTCTAGTGAGCTGGCAATGGAGCGTCTACTAGCTGTCAGTAAGCGCGCCTGGTTGGCTTGTGCGCTGTACTGGACGGTAAGGTGTTGGAACCTGTCCCGTGAATGTAACGATCCAAAGCTCAAGATCGGTGAACCAATCGTGAATGAGCTTGGAAAGTTAAGATTTCTTTGCTAACTGTGGATGGACCAGTCAGTCAGCTAGAAAATCTCCTTGCTGAGCTGTGGATACGACCTGATAGCTTCGCAAGATGAAACTCGTTTGTAAAAGTGGATGAACCAGCAATCACAGAGTCTTTTTGGCTAATGGAAGCCAAAAAAGTTCGAGGATTTCTGTTGCTAACTGTGGATGGACCAGTCAGTCAGCTAGAAAAACCTCTTTGCTAGGCTATGGATATGACCTGATAGCTTCGCAAGATGACTCTTGTTGTGAAAGTGGATGGACCAGCAATCACAGAGTCTTTTTGGCTAATGGAAGCCAAAAAAGTT